GAGAGAGATTCCTATAATTTCTGCTAAGTCTTTGCAAAAATGGATATTCAGGATGCAGGTTTCCTACAAAAAATACATGATAACATGATGAAGTAAATTTTCCTTGCATATAAACCTTTTCAAAATAAAGCACAGGGTTATGTTAACGGCATCTATTGCCAGGGCACTAGTAGTAATATGTGTAGGGCTGTGCTTATAGCCTCTTCTTTGTCTGTCTGGGTGAATTGCTCTATCCCTGTGTCTCCATCCAGGTTCAGGCACAAGAAAGATAGCATTTTAGTTCACGTGTGAAGATGAGCCCCCCAGTTTGTGGTGTACTTGTCTGGGTGACAGCTTTATAAACTCCCTTGGCTGCCTTATTGATGATTGGTGGAAGGAAAAATGAAAACGGACAAGCCTTCTTTGATTAAGTCATCCGTAGAGTTAGTTTGTGCTAGTTGTGTGACTCGCAGTTTTTCTTACTCCGATGATCGGCATGTCTGTCTTTGGTGCAGAACAGCTTAACGCAGCACACTTTGGGAATTGAGAGCCCTGGCTCCTGTCCTGAAGGGCGCATGGCAGGTTCCTGGGGAGACCGTGGCCTTTGTTACTAGGCCAGGTGGTTTCTTTTAGGGTTGGCCTGTACTCATCTGCGTCCTATTGAGCTGGATAGAAGTCACCATCTTTCAGTCTTGGAAGGGACTTTGAAGAACAAATTTGATAGGTTTATGGGATTCACATCGTGTGATAGGCAGAGAGCTGGTTCTATGCAGAGAAGAATGTTTTTGTATATCTTGAGAAAAGGGAGACTGACAGGCACCATGTCTAATGGGAAAAGAGTCCAAGAGAAACCCTGATCTGCTGTTGTGGCGGAAAGGACCTCTGGGGTGAGCCTGAGAAGCAGCCAAGTCTTGGGACAGTGAGTTCAATGGTGGAGGCTTTGACACCCCAGGAAGGGAGGACTGCAGACTTGGTCTGCAGGGCTGGCAGGACATTATGTGATGATTCTGCTCTCGGTGGAGGCTTTGACACCCCAGGAAGGGAGGACTGCAGACTTGGTCTGCAGGGCTGGCAGGACGTTATTATGTGATGATTCTGCTCTCAATCACGTGGCACATCTGGACGCCCATGTACTGACAGTGGATTTGCAATACCAGTGTATGCTGGAGCCTGTGCTACACAGGCCAGAAGCAGTTTGTCTTTCAGTCTGAAACGTTACCTTTTTGTTCGTTGGCCCTTGCCTTTAGGGAATAGGAGCATGCCTGTTAATAGCAGACCTTGGTGGTGGGAGCCCTACATTTAGCTGTGCAAGTGAGAGCACTCTGCAGCTTTTTAACACTGTATACCCTCCTTCCTCTCGGCACTGCTGCTGGGGCCCCTTCTAGAGGAGAACGCTTCCGATCTCTGCTGCCTTGTTTCCTCTCTGGTGCAAGTAATGATGGACCCCTACTGTAGAACCAGGATTGGTTTCCAGAGCCTTGTCCAAAAGGAGTGGGTCATGGGCGGCCACTGTTTCTTGGATCGCTGCAACCATCTCCGCCAGAGTGAAAAAGAGGAGGTGAGTTTCCTCACTGCAGACTATCCCAGTCACGGGAGAGTTCCTCAGTCTCTTATTTAGCACCTGTCTTCACGTGTAGGTCACTGCTTGCAAAGTGCAGCTATACAGGTTTGTTAGGAAAACTGGGGTCAGTTCATTGTGTGGTGGCTTTGGATGCTTTAAACAATACTGAGACCCTTCCCAGAGGAAACAGATATTAACAAGTGTGTTCAGAGTCTTCTCTTCTACATTGTCTACACCAAGGGTGTATATATATTTCATGGTGAGAATGATATTAATCTGTAAAACTTAAATATAAGGTAACTTAGTGAGAGAGATTCCTATAATTTCTGCTAAGTCTTTGCAAAAATGGATATTCAGGATGCAGGTTTCCTACAAAAAATACATGATAACATGATGAAGTAAATTTTCCTTGCATATAAACCTTTTCAAAATAAAGCACAGGGTTATGTTAACGGCATCTATTGCCAGGGCACTAGTAGTAATATGTGTAGGGCTGTGCTTATAGCCTCTTCTTTGTCTGTCTGGGTGAATTGCTCTATCCCTGTGTCTCCATCCAGGTTCAGGCACAAGAAAGATAGCATTTTAGTTCACGTGTGAAGATGAGCCCCCCAGTTTGTGGTGTACTTGTCTGGGTGACAGCTTTATAAACTCCCTTGGCTGCCTTATTGATGATTGGTGGAAGGAAAAATGAAAACGGACAAGCCTTCTTTGATTAAGTCATCGGTAGAGTTAGTTTGTGCTAGTTGTGTGACTCGCAGTTTTTCTTACTCCGATGATCGGCATGTCTGTCTTTGGTGCAGAACAGCTTAACGCAGCACACTTTGGGAATTGAGAGCCCTGGCTCCTGTCCTGAAGGGCGCATGGCAGGTTCCTGGGGAGACCGTGGCCTTTGTTACTAGGCCAGGTGGTTTCTTTTAGGGTTGGCCTGTACTCATCTGCGTCCTATTGAGCTGGATAGAAGTCACCATCTTTCAGTCTTGGAAGGGACTTTGAAGAACAAATTTGATAGGTTTATGGGATTCACATCGTGTGATAGGCAGAGAGCTGGTTCTATGCAGAGAAGAATGTTTTTGTATATCTTGAGAAAAGGGAGACTGACAGGCACCATGTCTAATGGGAAAAGAGTCCAAGAGAAACCCTGATCTGCTGTTCATCCAGCCCTTGGAGAAAGTCGCTCATATTTTCTGAGTTTGTTTCCCTTACTGTGAGACTGACAGGCACCATGTCTAATGGGAAAAGAGTCCAAGAGAAACCCTGATCTGCTGTTCGTCCAGCCCTTGGAGAAAGTCGCTCATATTTTCTGAGTTTGTTTCCCTTATTGAATAATGAGGTAGAAATATTTTCCACTTTATACAGAAATATTGCACATAAAGTGACGTATGAAAGAATGTTTCTTAGCATCTCCACATCAAGATATTGGAGTTTTGAAATAATTTGTGATGTAATTGAGGCAGCACTGGAATTCCCTGCTCTGTGTGAGACCTTCTCCAGCCTCTTAGCAGCTCTGGTCTTCCATTTCTTCCTCTCTAGGGGAGAGACTGTGACATAGCTTGAATTACCTGTATGACGGGATCCCTGGTGAATCAAGAAGGATAAGCACTTTGTAAATGTTTAAAGTACCCTCGAAACTACTGTCTCTACTAATGAAGGGCTCACCTCTGGGTGAGGAGGCCCATAGGTTTAAAAAAAATACATTTGGGAAAAAAGTTAGAAACTCATTTTACTGCTTCTGCCTTCTCTCCCATCCCTCTGTCTTCTGGGCCCTCGCTGTGGGTGTGGAGGAGAGAGGCTTCTCATTCCAGCTCAGACTCCAGGACCAACCCCTGACTGTTAGTGTGCAGGCAGGCAGTGGGGTGAAAATTTTCCCCCACAATTTTTTATTGACAAAATTTAAAATAGAAACCATAATTGAGTACAATTTTTTGTAATAACGGCACTATTGATGAGAAGAATGGAATTTTTAATTTATTATTTATTTGTTTTTTGGGTTTTTTAAAAAAATTTTTTCAAAGATGACCGGTAAGGGGATCTTAACCCTTGGCTTGGTGTTATCAGCACCACGCTCAGCCAGTGAGCAAACTGGCCATCCCTATATAGGATCCGAACCCATGGCCTTGGTGTTATCAGCACCACACTCTCCCAAGTGAGCCACGGGCCAGCCCAAAGGAATGGAATTTTTGAAGGGGGAGATAACATTTCCCTTAATTGTGGTTCAGAATTAGTGCTCCCTGTCATCACAATCAATTGCAAATGCTAATGCTGATGTTAATGTTGGTCCATAAGGAGACTTTGTATATTTCATTTTTGAGATGTCTTCAACACAGACTGGCACTACCAAATGCTGATATTAATCCACAAGCATGTGATTTCAATAGCATATTTAAGGGGCTGGCCGATGGCTCACTTGGGAGTGCAGTGGTGCTGATAACACCAAAGTCAAGCACCAAGGTCAGGAGTTCAGATCCCCATACTGGCCAGCTGCCAAAAAAAAAACCCAAAGAAACTTAATCATATCGTCAATTGAGCATATTTATCATTTTATCACTTAGAATGGGATGGAATATATGTGTTTTCAGAGAATATAGTGCTCAGAAGTGGTTATCCCCAGGTACTGAGATGGCTGCCCCTGAACTTGGGCTTTGTGCCCTCGGAGTAATGTGTATCTTGTTTTCACGTAGGTTCCTGTGTTCCTGCTTTTCCTAGATTGCATCTGGCAACTGGTACAACAGCATCCCCCAGCATTTGAGTTCACAGAGACTTACCTGACTGTTTTGTCAGACAGCCTGTACATACCTATTTTTAGTACCTTCTTCTTTAATTCTCCTCATCAAAAAGATACTAACATGGTAAGAGTCCCTCTTAGGAACCTGCATATTAAAGAAGCTCCATCTCGGGCCGGCCCGGTGGCGCACTGCTACAGTGCGCCGCTTGGGAGCGCAGTGGCGCTCCTGCCGAGGGTTCGGATCCCACATACAGACCGGTTCCCGCTCACTGGCTGAGCGAGGTGTGGGGGCAACACCGAGGGTTGCGATCCCGTTGCCGGTCCCGGCCCGGTACGGGCGCGACACTGAGGGTTGCGATCCGTTGCCGGACACGAAAAAAGACAAAAAGGAAAAAAAATAAATAAATAAATAAAGAAGCTCCATCTCATGGGTAGAATGTAATAAAATTGATGCTAAAAATGATATGTATTTAACACTGTGTATATACCAGGCATTGTTCACTTAGCTTTCTAGGTGTTAATATATAATCTTCACAGCACCCTATGGGGTATGTATTATTATTATCATCCCTGAGGAAGCTGAGGCACACAGAGGATGAGTGACTTGCTCAAGGTCACACAGTAAATATTGGAGCTGGAAGCAAGTGTTGGAGCTTGGAAATTAAGCAAAATTAAAAGCTGTCCCTTTTAAAGACAGACCAGATGCCTGCCTGAGTTACTCCGTGAAGAGAGTGGAGACCAGCAGAACAGGGAAGCTAGGCTTTTACTTTCCATCTCAAACCCCTTCCATCTGTCTTAAGCCTGTACTCCTGGGGGGTTTAACTTGCTAAGCTGATTTCAGTGCTTCTAACTGGCCTTCTGCTGGCCTCTGGGTTTGCTGGAACTAGTAGGAGAACCACGTCCTGTGCTACAGTGGCAACGACAGGACCTGGGCTTCCGAGTCACACAACCCTGGTTTCAGATGCCAGCCCTAAGAGTCAGTAGCTTCATGACCTCAGGCAATTCACTTCAGTTTTCTGAGCCTCAGTTTCCTCAAGTGTAAAATTGGAAAAATAATAGATACCTCGCAAGGTTGTTATGAAAGTGCCTGGCATATAGTCTGCCAGGTCCTTCTCACCATCATCCCCCACTGAAAGCTTTTACTGAATAATCATTGATAGCATCAGCCTTTAAAAATGGAGTGCCTGTGAATGTTCAGTCTTAGGCAGGGCAGGAGTGCCTTCCTGGTGCCTGTTTCTCAGAATTATGTGTTTGCTTTCCTCAGCCTCTCTGGAAGCCAGCGTGACCTGTGCTTGTTTTGGCAGGGAAGGGAGAGCCAGGATACACAAAGCAAGCCTTTGAATCTGCTTACCGTGTGGGACTGGTCTGTACAGTTTGAACCCAAAGCCCAGACGTTGCTCAAAAACCCTCTTTATGTGGGAAAGCCAAAACTGGACAAAGGCCAGCGGAAAGGAATGCGTTTCAAAGTAAGATGTCCACACTTCTAAACCCCCTTCATCTGCCCCAAGATCCCCATGTATGTAAGGATAAAAGTCACACGTGGATTCCGTCTGTTAGGTTATGTTTTACTCCTTGAAACAGTCTGCAAAGTCGAGATTTGTGATAGGCAGATCATTAGCACTCATTAGAATCCTCTGCTTTCAGCAAATGAACCTTTGCTCTATGTGACATGGTATTTGCTAAATGTCACTGAGGACGCTGCTGCCATTGTCATCGTTCCTCTTAGGCGATGGAATCATTCCTCTTATGCCTGCCTACGCGTGTGGCCGTATGGGTTTTATTCGATATATACCAGTTCATATATTAAATAGTACGACTTTTCTTAATAAGCTGTACCTATGCAGCTTTAACAGTGGTTGGCAAACTTTTTCTGTCAAGGGCCGTACAGTCTCTGTTGCAACTACACTACTCTAGTGTTGTAGCACAAAAGTATCCATAGCTGATAGGGGAACAAATGGACATGGCCATGGTCCAGTATTTAGGAAAACAGGCAGCAGGCCAGATTTGGCCCAAGAGCTATTGTTTGCTGCCCTATGTTATAAACCTCAAAGGTGAAAGAATTATTTTTCCCTTCAGATATTTGTTTCTGATTCTACTAGTTGTTAAAACCCTGGAGTTCGTTTAACTGATAAATAATTTAAATGGCATTTCCTAGCTCTGTCTCCAGGCCCAAAATTTCTCCCCTACAGAGCCCACAAAGGGGAGAGTAGCAACACTGGATCCAAGGCAATGTGTGTCACTGCCTCTCCACCTCCTCCTGATCCCGCCTGACCTCAAGGGGTTCCAGGGAGCCCGGCCAGTTCCGGTGTGGGAGTTGGCTCCATTCTAAAGAGGACTGGGGACCTGTGTAAGCCCAAGCCGGCACTCAGAGATGAGGTCAGCTGCTGAGGCACTTAGAGCTGCCACTCTGCCCTTTCAGGGGTCCTCATGCCTGGGGTGGATGTTTCCTCTTTCTGGTTCAATCTCTTTTCTACCAGTTTGACCAGAATCGCGCAGAGCCTGGGAACAGCTTGGCCACAGATCAGTTTTTCTTCAGTGTGTTGTGCCCCCTGGTGGCTGTACACACATTCTTGTAAGAGCTAGGTTAGGATCACAGATGCCTGTGGCAGAGAGGCAAGGGACCTCAGAGACAGTGAGACCCACCCCTTGTTTTACAGCGGAGGAAACTAAGGCTCCACCTTCTAAGAATGGATCTCATTTGTCTCCCCAGAACCAGTTTTTCTAGTTGTCCCTTCTCCCTATAGGTAAGGACAGACAGCCTAGGCTCCAAGTAAAACAATCTTTATGACTTAGCCTGAAATTCCCTCTGGATGCCTGATAAGCTACTATGTTATTTCATCCACATGACAGGACCTTCAGGTAGTCAGCCCTGCTTCCTTGCAGGTATTCAGAATATTGTAGCAGTTAACAGCCCTGAAGTTCTCAAAGAGACATTCTGCCCCTTTCAAAAAATGAAGAGGCATCACCGCTGAACTCCCTAAATCACCTAAACTGGTTCTTCAAAAGCACTTTGTATCCACTGGTACCCCTAATCCAGGGGAGGAGGGGACTGAAAGGTCCACTTTGTGTTGCAGCCTGCCTTTCTGCACAGCTGCCATGCACTCCCACATCCCAGTTTGTGTCCAGCACAGTGGGTGTTGTGGAGTAAACCAGAAGTCCCACCTCTCTGTGTTCCAGCACTTCAGTGAGCATGCATTCACAGGGCACTTCCGACATCTCAATACTTTTGAAGGCAGGACTATGCCCTTGTTTTAATAGTAACACTGGTTCTTCAAAAGCACTTTGTATCCACTGGTACCCCTAATCCAGGGGAGGAGGGGACTGAAAGGTCCACTTTGTGTTGCAGCCTGCCTTTCTGCACAGCTGCCATGCACTCCCACATCCCAGTTTGTGTCCAGCACAGTGGGTGTTGTGGAGTAAACCAGAAGTCCCACCTCTCTGTGTGTTCCAGCACTTCAGTGAGCATGCATTCACAGGGCACTTCCGACATCTCAATACTTGTGAAGGCAGGACTATGCCCTTGTTTTAATAGTAATAGCTGTAACTGGCCCTCTTATGTTAACCAGAGGTTTTTATTTGTGTTTTCTCTCAAAGCATCAACGACAACTTTCTTTGCCACTCACCCAATCTAAGTCATCTCCCAAAAGAGGATTTTTCAGGGAAGAAACAGATCATTTAATTAAAAACCTTCTTGGCAAGAGAATTAGCAAACTTATTAATTCTTCCGATGAGCTACAAGACAACTTTCGNAAGAGAGCTGGGGCAGGGGCAACAGGGAACTTTGAACCTTGGGGTAAGGAGACAAGAGGTCAGGTCGGGGGACCTTGTTGAGTGGACAAATGGCCTTGGCTACGTTCTGTAGAGACTCTGAGGAAACTGTGGCCGACCTGCACAAAGTGCTGCTCTGTGAACGGCCACACAAGGGGCGGGATTCCTCTCAGGTGTGCAGTCTTACCTTCAGCCACAGACCTTCACCTTGGCCAGTCTAGAACATTCTGTTCACTTAATAGACTGAGAGAGGGGGGCTTGTTAGACCAAGAAGAGTTTAGTTAAGAGCCCAGGTTCTAGAGCCAGTCTGTGTTTGAAACCCCCTGTGGCACTTGGTAGCTGGTGCCTTTGGCAGATAACTTAACCTCTGTCCCTTGGCTTCCTCACTTGTAAAATGAGGCAGTAATACTGACTTTGAGAGTTAGGTAAGTCGATGCATGAAAAGCACTGAGCACAGAACCTAGCAGGCAGTGAGCACACAGTGAGGGCTAGGCTTCATCCGCATTCCCTGGTCCCCCACCCCGCCCGACTCACCTTGGTCACTATGGAGAGGAAAGGCCAAGGACTCCTGGCCTTCATCTCACCTGTCCCCGATGGAAAGCCAAAAATCCTGATCATTTCTGAGTTGTTTTATGGATGGTTTTACTGTCTTTTTTGTATTTTTATTGTTATTCCATACTCCACAATAAGGAAATATTTCCTTTATAATAAAGAATTTTTTTTTGAAGGAAGAACCACTGGCAGAAACATGTTAGAGAGTTATAGGGCTAGCCTGAAAATAAATCTTTTATCTATTCTTGTTTCAAATGGACATCTCAGGAGCAAAAGACTGAAGAGAAACAGCTTTTCCCCACATTTTTTAGCTTCTCCTTTGGGCATTGTGGAAACTTCACAACCTTCTGACCTTTACCCATCCTCACAACCCTTTCACAGTGCACCCCAATTGCTTTGGCTACAGAGAGAACTACAAAGGAGGAGAAAAATGTAAATGCTCTCATGTTTTCCACTCCATGCAGGTGTAAGACAAGAATGTCTGGCCAACTTAGCCAGTTCCTCAAATTCCTTTGCTCCCACCTGCCTTCATTTTCTTTGTCTAAAACAATCTTTATGACTTAGCCTGAAATTCCCTCTGGATGCCTGATAAGCTACTATGTTATTTCATCCACATGACAGGACCTTCAGGTAGTCAGCCCTGCTTCCTTGCAGGTATTCAGAATATTGTAGCAGTTAACAGCCCTGAAGTTCTCAAAGAGACATTCTGCCCCTTTCAAAAAATGAAGAGGCATCACCGCTGAACTCCCTAAATCACCTAAACTGGTTCTTCAAAAGCACTTTGTATCCACTGGTACCCCTAATCCAGGGGAGGAGGGGACTGAAAGGTCCACTTTGTGTTGCAGCCTGCCTTTCTGCACAGCTGCCATGCACTCCCACATCCCAGTTTGTGTCCAGCACAGTGGGTGTTGTGGAGTAAACCAGAAGTCCCACCTCTCTGTGTTCCAGCACTTCAGTGAGCATGCATTCACAGGGCACTTCCGACATCTCAATACTTTTGAAGGCAGGACTATGCCCTTGTTTTAATAGTAACAGCTGTAACTGGCCCTCTTATGTTAACCAGAGGTTTTTATTTGTGTTTTCTCTCAAAGCATCAACGACAACTTTCTTTGCCACTCACCCAATCTAAGTCATCTCCCAAAAGAGGATTTTTCAGGGAAGAAACAGATCATTTAATTAAAAACCTTCTTGGCAAGAGAATTAGCAAACTTATTAATTCTTCCGATGAGCTACAAGACAACTTTCGAGAGTTCTATGACAGCTGGCACAGCAAGCCCACTGACTACCACGGTTTGTTGTTGCCTCATATAGAGGGGCCAGAAATCAAAGTCTGGGCCCAGCGCTACTTGCGTTGGATTCCAGAAGCCCAAATCCTAGGTGGCGGCAGAGTGGCCACCATGAGCAAACTCTTGGAAATGATGGAGGAAGTCCAGAGCTTACAAGAGAAAATCGACGAGAGACACCACAGGCAGGAAGCCCTCCAGGCGGATGTCCCCTGTCTGCTGAGGAACTCTGCCCGCCTGTCGTCTTTGTTTCCTTTCGCTTTGCTCCAGCGACATTCCACTAAGCCTGTCTTACCCACCAGTGGCTGGAAAGCTTTGGGAGATGAAGAAGATTTGGCCAAACGAGAAGATGAGTTTGTGGATCTAGGGGACATGTGACTTGTTTTTTGAATGATTGTGAAAGAGGATTGTGGGAGATTGGGACAGTTGCTCCCTGGATTAGTATCACACTGCAGCTGATGCTGGGAGGGTCGTTAGCCCTGCACTCTGTTGGAGTAAACCTGAGCCTTCAGGAAAAGAGCTGGCTCTTGTTTTTTTTCATTGTTCTGAAAGACTATGCAATTAAAACCATATCTCTAGTATTATCAATCGAAAGGAATTACTACTTGACCCGTAATAGGATCGTGGCCGTTTTCTGATGCCTAAGTATTATACC